AAAAACGTGTGAATAAAATGTTATCTATTTAAGCTACTTAATTGTATTAAATTTGGCATATTAAAAATGATAAAAATAAATAAAAATTTAAATTTAAAAAAAAAAGGCCCTTAAGTCGCCATTTTTCTAATTATTGTGGCTGAATATAAAACAAATAAATAATTATTCAACCATAAAAAATGGCTGAATAATTAACAAATTTAAGAATTTACTGCANGTTTGCGGAAAATTAAATTTGTAGCAACAGCTAGTTTCATAGGCACTTGAATTTTATATTCCCCTATATTCAATATTGAAAATTCATTTATCACGATATTGTTTTTGTAGTTTTTTTCTTTCTTTCCTCCCCTTCATTGTGTAGTAAAAAGATTTTTCAAATTAAATTTTACACGTTTAGAATAGTCTAGTAGAAATAAATAAGCTTAGTAATGGGCAATAACGTTAAAAAAAACGTTAAAAAACGTGTGAATAAAATGTTTTCTATTTAAGCTACTTAATTGTATTAAATTTGGCATATTAAAAATGATAAAAATAAATAAAAATTTAAATTTAAAAAAAAAAGGCCCTTAAGTCGCCATTTTTCTAATTATTGTGGCTGAATATAAAACAAATAAATAATTATTCAACCATAAAAAATGGCTGAATAATTAACAAATTTAAGAATTTAATGCATGATGTACCCTCACTTTGAAAAGGAAACAATTAAATAAAGAAGTAAATATAGTTTTAAAATATTTATTATAAAGTAAAAGACTAAATAAAGTATTTTTAATTAAAAAAAAAAACGGTCCCTGCCCCCCCCCCAACAATAGTCGCCTCTAAACGGCGGCCATTTTTTCAGGAGCGTTGAATAAAACTGCATACAAAAATAAAGCCATTGTTTAGAGGTTAACAGTAAGCCAGGGCCGGGTTTAGACTTCTTGTGGCCCTACGTTACGACATACAAGAGGCCCTTCTCCTTCGCTATAATAATGGGAGATATTTATAAGCAGTCTTTGAGGATAGAACGAGGCCCTACGATGTATCTTATTTAACTTATGCGGTACATAAATCTAACTTTGCTAAAGGCCTAATATTAAATCTCTATTCAATGCGGACTTTAAGAGAAAAATAATACCCGAATTTAAGAAGCATTTTTACAATAAGAAGAGAAAAAACACGAAAAAAGTGTGTCCTAAATTCGAAATAATACGGTATTCTTATTTTTATTTATAGAAATAACGATAATTTAAATGACAAATTCGATTTAAACTCATTGAATTTGAAGCATATCCATCAAATTATCTGATGATTGATGGCTTTATTCTGATTTCAGCACTTTAAGGAATTTTCAATACAATCAAATCATATTATTATTATTATAGGCTATAAATATGACATCATTTGTATTAGAATTATCTGACAAAACTGACAAAATTGTTAAATCGATTGTTACAAGTGATAAATTATCCGATTAACACAGATTAACACTCAGATCTATTTGAAATAATTTATTCTGAAAATTCCTTTTAAAATTAAATTGCTATAGAGATTTAAATATCCCGATATTTAATTTTAATTAATTTTAAATGATGTTTATATTAACGATTTTAATTGCTTTGTTTTATTTAAATTATATTTTTAATTTGATTAAAATTTTTATCATTAAATATATTATAATTTTACTACAAAAATTTGTTTAAATCAGTTAATGTTACGTCATTATTCTTTCAACCAATTACCTTCAAATCTTTATAAAAACGTTTTTACGTCGTTTGTCGCATATTTAAAAGAGAGCCGCCTATATTGATCGATTTTTTTATTTATTTATTTTGTATTCTTTTCACATTACAGCTAAGATTATTATTTAATTTTATTGTAGAAGAAGATGAATTATTATTTAATAAATACTGTATTTATTTCTACTTTAGAGTTAGATTAAGAATACAGTAAAAATATTTTACTATCAATAAATTTTAAGTGTATAATCAAATTTACAAACAACGGTCACTGACGGAAACAAAATAAAAATGGTCGTTGTTCGGAGGTTATTTTGTTCGTATTTCCGGAAAGATTGGCCATTATTGGTGTTAATTTTTGATTATTAATATTCTTATTAGTCACTGTAACTTGATATTGCATTGGATAATAATAATTAACTAGCTGAATTTTCTACAGAATATTTAGAAATAGTCCAAAGTAGTAGTTGGTTTGTAGTAGTACTAATATTCCATACTGTAATCTAAGTTATAGTTTTACGAGATTATTATTATTAGCTTTTTATCCTTTCCTTAGCTTGCAGAAATTGTTTCTCTCATTGTATTAATAGGTTGTTTCAAAAAAACTTCTCATTTCTTTCTGGAAAACTTTCTCTAGTAGTAAAATATTTATTTTCAGAAATATCTGCTAGTTACATGCAACTGAGTTTTTCTTTTCTTTCTTATAACAATGCATTATTATTGAAGAAAATCTCTCTGTATAAAAATGTCACCGATACTTGACAAAACAAAATAAGATTTACTTGAATCATCTATACCATATTATTCTACATGCATTGAAGATTTTTTATGTCAAGCAACCACTGTTATTTTTTACTTTTCGGCCTATTTTAACGCATAACTGTAATATACCATTATTTCCTTTTATGCATTGTGGAAAACAGAATAATGGAAACTATTATCAAATATACCTTATTTCTTGCAATTTATAAATATTTACTACAAATAATTTTTTTTTGACAGAAGCAATATTTTAAGAACCCCTCTAAAAATATAAGTTACGAGACAGCAACTTATATGATACATTTAGGTAAGCTGTTAGAAGGACAGTATACACTATGAGTCAAAAGTTTGATATGGGGCCAGGGTAGAGAGGGCCCTTTTGTTTAAAAAAAATGAAATACGTAGAACGCTTCTTACATTACTAACAAAAGTATAAAAATAGCATTAATTTATAGGAGTAAGAACTATGTTTCCTCCGGGCCAGCTGCCCCTCTCGAGGGCCCTGCTTATGCTATTAGAATTGATTATAGCTAACTAGAACAGATATTAGGGGGCCCGAGTTAAAATACCGTCAGGCGTTATTATGAATTGGGCAATAGCGTCAAGGCCCCATATGATTACGCTATTAACCAATTCATAATAATTTCTCTTTGATAATATCAAAGACAATGCATTATTTAGCTTCACGTAACAAATATACTTACAGACTTCTAAATTCACTTAATCCCTAAAGTCACTTATGGACATCTAAATTCTAATAAAGCAGCTGTATGCTAGATTTTTTTCTTATATTGGTTTATTAGTCTACATTTCCCTATTGGGAAATTTTTCTATTTCTGTAGGTATTCAGCTTATCTTATAGGCTTATGGGATATTAGAACTTCTTTCCTCTAGGGCCTAAAATATTCTGTAGAATCTAAGTGATATCGATCTAGACATTCGCTTTATGGCTTGATATTAGTCTGTATTGATTAGACTACTAGACCTGAGGCTGTTAATATATTATTGGGACATAAGTTAATTTTGGGATGTTTCGTGAGCGTTTTAGCTGTAGTAATTTTTAATAAACATAAGTGATTTTTATAATTTAAGAAGGTCTTTTTTAAATATTAAGCAAGCCAATATTTCTAATTGTTTTCGTTATAAAAACGTGTAGAGCTAAGTCAAAATTATTAAGAATTCAACTTAAATTATTAGAAATTTATCGTCGATGTAGCAGCCTCCTAAATACCGTAGCTCTCGTAAAACACCATTTGTGAACGGATCCTTCCCATAATTCAATATCTACGAATTACCAAAATGTGCAGTTTTGCATCGTAAACGCTATTGTTATTACCAAATCATGTGACTTTCAAACTGTCAAACTCCATAGTTATATTTTGCAATAAAAAAAACAATTCACATACAACTGTTAACGCGAATGAACAAGGGCAGTAAAAATGGCGACATTAAAGGCCAACAGCTGGTTCCACCAATCGCCTCTTTCGACCTTGACAATTAGAATAAGTGATTGGTTAAACCTGTCGTTGACGTTCAATGTCGTCTTGATTTTGCCGCCCGTCAGCATCGGCCATTATCGTTCCGGATACCTCAGTTTAGCGCCAACTCGATTTAATGCCAAAAGATAAGTGGCTCTAAATCGCAGTTTGGTATATGTATACACATTTAAATAATTGCGTTTTACAAAAATACAAATAAATAATAGAAAATTAGCTAAATTATTATAAAATTATTATAAATACAAAATATTTTTAAATACCGTGTGACGTAATTGAAGTACTGTACCTCTATTTAACGCTGTCTGACGAGAAAATTAACAGTCAGAATGCAACTAAATTTGGTATGGTGATATTTTAGAGTCTTTAGAGCATAAACAATTGTATAGAAATTCTATTATAAGGCATTGATATAGATTCAATCAACTTTCAATGTACTATTTTTAGTTTATAATATAATTATTTATTATAAAGAGGGACAAAATTATTAAACAAATATTTGTATGTATAAATATTTATAATGTGTAATGATGTAGAGGAAGAGAGAATTCAGAGAAAGAAGAAAATAAAAAGTAATTCACTGTTATAAATTTTTAAATAGTCAATAAAATGTTAACAAATATTAACATTTGTTGAGTGTTTAAAAATTTACTTCTTTGAAAACCAGCAGAACAAAATATCTATATTGATTGTATTTTTCTAAATTTAAAAGTAAATCTCTAAACTAAAAGCTAACTTTGTTACTTTTGCTAAATGGATATAAATTATTTAAACCAATTAAACTTTAATAATAAAAAAAAGACAATAAAGTCCATACAGTTTAATGCAATTCTTTTACTATATAAACATATAAATTATTTAGATATAAACTGATATTGTGGCTATAGTTTTACTTGTAAAAAAAGTACTTATAAATTTTATTAGTGAAAAAAAAAAACCTTAAATGATATAATCATAATAGATTTTTCTATTAAAAAATTTTTGTTTAAATAATTTAAATATTTTGTGTTTTAATTATATACAGGCCATATCAGAGGACTGGGATCACTTGGTACTGGGCATATACTGTATTTAAGAAGGCCTCAAAAATATTTCTTGAAAATTATTTATTCCATTGTATTTCGTACGTAAAATATTTATTTTTTGTTTTTGTATTATATTTTTTTGGTATTGTATTGTATATATAATTTTTATCATAGAGATCAATCTCCTTCGATGCTTTCCGATAGAGGGCGATATATGTGAAACGACATCCTCTAGTGATAATTATGGTAATTAAATTATTATTGTTTATGACAATTGCTTTATTTAAAATTATTTGTGTTAAAAAGTTATTTTTGCTTGACGTTAAATTGTTTCTAAAATATTTTTTGTATGTTAATTCTAAAGAAAAATATTAAAAAAAAACTAAATAGACTTTTTTAAAAAGAGCTTTTAAGTTTTGTCGCGACGAATATTTATATTTACTGCCTTTATTAACATGCCTGATGTTTATTTTATAGATGATTCAGAATAAATAAAAGATTAGTCACGCACTGTAGTATGAAAAAAAATGTTAAATATCTCCATACAAAAATTTGTAAGCGAAGAGAGGAGGACTATTAGACACGCAACATTAACATATCGAATGTCTCTGTTATAACGTATTTGTGCATTACAACAGCTTTATAATGCATAAAAAGATTAAATTATTACAAATAAAAGGGATTTTTAATAATTATTATTTAAAAAAACAGTTTTTAGGAGTAAAAAATTGGCTTATAGTCACCTTATCCAGCCGCTTTACTAGGCGAAACGCCCATTCTTTTGTAGAAATTCTGGTAAAAATAATAGAAATTAATTTATTGCTTTAGATTCTAGAGAAATAAATCTTAATATAAACATATCAAATTTTACAATACTAATTCCTATAAATCCAGTATTATTATTTATTATGCATTCCATCATAACGGTTCCTTCCTTATTCACTATATTAATTTTTATACAGAAATTCTGATTTGAAAATAGGAGTTAAATTATTCCAAAGAACAAATATATTTGATCCCACTTTATTATTTATGGTAATTCTTCTAAATTATTGTATGTCCCATTATACTGTATTAATTCTCATATTCACAATACTAATTCTAAGGCAGAAATTCTAGTGAGAAACAGGAATTTTCATATAATTTTAAACAATTTTTGCAAGGTTAATTAATCAATCACCACAAATTTTCATTGAGAAAAACTGTAATTAAACTTATTTTAGAAGAAGAAAAAAAAAAACAATTGTAAGTACAGTAGATCCCCCTATAAAACCGTTTCCTATAGTTATGATTCCTATAAAAATTGTGGAATTATCCGTAAACAACGGTAAAAATAACTCCTATAATACGTAAAACGTCATCGGGCAGCCGAACTACTTACCAGCCGTCCGTAGCGCCACGCTACGGAGAGATTTCTATCGTCTGGACAGTATTATATAAATTATATATAAATTAGGTACTGTACATATAATTATATATTAATTATATATAAATTAGGTACTGTATATATAATTATATATTAACTTAATTTATTGTAACTTTATTATAATTAAATATATATTTTTCGCCGTCTAGCGTCACGCTACGGCGAGTTAGGCGACCTATCGTCTGTTTAGTACTGTAATTTTATACATTTCTTGTGAAAGAAACATTTCTTATTTAACGGCCATAAAAATTATTTATATTAATGATGTCTCCAAAGGTCAACGAAGTTTTCGCAGAAAAATAATATCAGAAATCGCGGCCGCAATTTGATGCGCTGTTCCGCGACGAAACCAAGCTTTAGCAACGAGCGTAGTCAAAGGGTACACACTCGGTAAGTAATCCTACAATTTTTTGTTTATAACGTAGTTTATACGGATTATTTTAAAAAAAATATACGTATTTTGGAAATGTTGAGTCGAATTAGTCTAGAATCGATTAATTTTATGAAAGAAAACCTTTCAAACAGCCGTAGTCCGTAAACTATGATTCCTACAAAATTGATTCATAAAGAACGGAACGTATCTACCGTCTTATAGGGGGATCTACTGTACTGTATATATATTTTTTTATATTCTAAATGATATATAAATGTATAATTTTGTCAGCTTAATAATTTTAATTAATGTAATTTGAATTTCTTATTACATTACTTCTCATTGAAGCAAACATGTAATCAGGTAAAGTGATTTTCTCTCTCTCTCACTTAATACTCAATGAAGTAAATGCAAACCAACTCGTTGCTAGCACCATAGTGTAATTGAAACTGTTAGCACCGAAACCATTTTAATTTTGTGTAATTACATTTCTGTAATTTACTTCTTATATCTTAAAAATTCGAGTTTAGAATGTCTTTCCACATTATAAATGGCAATCTCTATTACACGGGGATTATCAGTACCATTTTACGTAACCATATCAAATGGCTCCTGCTGCTCCCATTTACGAAGGTCTCAAAACATTTGTTACAAATTATTCCATTCAGTTGTAATTAAGAAAATTATTATTATTATTAATTTTTGGTTAGATTTATTATTTAAAAAAAAAAATATATATATAATACAGTTTTCTAAAATACTTGGGGCCTCAATTTAGTGGGGAAAAAATAATATTGTCTATTGGCTAAGGCCTCTCAAGTTTCTTTTACTTGTGAGAGGTTCTGGTACTAAAAACAATATTTTGTACGTAGAGACATGGAAAGTAATAGTGTGTAATCAATTATAATGAACAAATACGGCATATATAAATAATATAGTAATTCAATACATCTATAAACAGCATGAAATATTAATGTAAGAGAATATTTAATTTTATTATATCAATTAACAGTTCTCAACCTTTTTTCACACGAGTACCACCTGTGTCTTGTGTGTCTAGACTTGTAGCACTAACGGATTTTTCTTGTGGTACGTGTACCAATGGTTGAGATCGGCTCCGGAGAAAGAGAGAGGTAGAACAATAGGGTCATTTAGTTCAAACCTCGAATATACAAGTGCCAAATTTATATTAAAAACATGCCACGGTAATGATATAATGTATAGGGCTAAATTGATGAATGGCTCATCCAACTTATTTTCAAACTCTATTACTAATTTATAAGTTACTATACACACTAAAAATATTAATTAATGTGACTTTTATTTTCATCAGTTACTTCGCTATGATTGAGTGAATTTAGAAGGGTTGCTGGTTTGATAGGATACGGCAAGGCAACACGTGGACGATCCTGCTTCCCGGGAAAACTTTATAAGGGCGTATTGGCCCCTTTCAGGGTACCTAGTCTTGAGTTATGTGAGTAACAACAGATACGTGTTGAGAATATCATGTAGTATTAACTCATTCATTGAGACTTGAGACCATTCACCGAAGGAGTTTGCGACACGTGACACACCCAACACATTCGTATGGTTACTCACATAACTGGAGACTAGGTAACACACATGAAGAAACCCTAAAACTCCACGTGCCCAGCTCGTTGGTGAGGAGCAAACCCACAAATTCAGTGGGTAAAACTGCTCGACTGTTAGTTGGTCCCACGACCAACTAACAGTCGAGCAGTTTTACCCACTGAATTCAGAAGGAACATATCGAGAAATTCAATTTTATAACTGAAATTTAATAGCAGCGACCTCATATTTCGTACATTAACTTTTAATTTGAAATTTAAATCATATTCAATTGTTCGTATTTTGATTATTCGCTATGTCTACGTAAACAATCAAACCAGTAAAATATATTGCACAGAATAAAATTATATGTCAATATATATATACTGTACATAAAGTTACTTCACTATTTTATACCTTTGGGTGTGTAGGGATAGCGTAGGTGTGTGCAAGTATGTGTAGGTGTGAGCGTGTGCGTGTACAGACGAGTGTTTGCGTGTATCCAGGTGGGTGCCATTGTATATGTAAATGCGTAGGCTGCAGGGAGAAGAAATCACTAGAGCCTGCAGACATAGTGGGCCCACAAAAAAAGGGTATTTTTAGTCAGAAAATCATGTGTTGTAAGTAAATGCAGAATGCCAAACCGTGTCCCAATTTTCCCTATAGATGGGAGAGGTTTGTATGTGTCTGTATGTAAAATATACTGTAGTATCGAATTACTAAAGGATCAACACGAAGAATCGTATTTTGGACTTCACTAAATATCAAAAATTCTTGAATTTAAACGCCGGATATAAACTTCTCTACAATATAAGTTCTAATTAAACACTTGAAAAATCGTGGCAAATGAAGAGTAATTAAATAAGCCACTGATGAACACGTGTCATCTCTTGTAATACACGTGAGATATCAACCGTAAAAATATTCTAATGATGATTGATTCGCTAAATAAACAATTAGCCCTGATAGCTTCACTTCCTCAATTAATTGTAGTCAAAATAAAATCACATCTCCGCTTAATCTTCGTTACGAGGGTGGCCCAAAAATCAGTTAACAAAGATATTATAAGAACGGCTAAAACTAGTTTAGATTTTGTTAATCACGAAGTAATCTTGAAAATAAATAAATAAATAAAAATACGTCTCCGTTAACTGAGTTCTGGGCCACCCTGTAAACTAATTGCATTATTTTCTGGTGTTGTTATTGCATACAAGATTGGAATTTTTTTTTTATGACTATTATTCTTGCATCTTTTGCTTAGCTTTTATAATGTTTTATGTGATTTTTATGATTCTGAATTTCTATAAATTACACTTCACAACAAACTATTCCCATAAAATTCTTATTGATATAAATTACGAAAATGTCTAGAAATTTCTTCTCAAAATTATAAATTTTTTTATGTTTTAAAGCATATATAATTTTAAGATCACGTCATAAAGTAAAGCTGTTAACTCTATACTGGGTATGCCATATTCTCTTTAAGATAAAGGGTGGCCCAAAAGTCAGTTAACCGCGCGCTTTCTTTCGATAATCGGTGGAAGCAGCGTAAAAAAAAAAAGTGATTANTTAATTCACAGATCTTTATTTAAGCTATATGATCGGAGTTTGTACCGATTCTCCTCAGTATAGGTATACTCTGCGACAGTTTTGATTTTTTTTAGTAACCTTACATCAATTACAGTTACAATCCTACAAACTCCTTTTTGGTGGTTAAAAAAAGAGAGATTGTATTTGGAGAATATTGCTGATATTAGCTTTATATTAAGCAAATCTTTTCAATTTGTTGTATAAAATTAATAATAATAATAATAATAATAAAACATTTAAAAATAATAAAATACAAATATTAATTAATAATAAATAAATAGAAGTTCGTAAAAACACAATAAATTTTCGTCAATTTTGTTTATTTTAAGGACTTAAAAATACTATTTTTGTTATTAATTTCTTTAGAATAAAGTCTTTAAAACAATATATAAAATTTTTTATTGTATAAACATTTTGTATTTTATTGTTTTAAAAGGAATTTTATTACTGATTTTACTGTATTTTTTTTAAATATAATTAAATTACTTACAGTAAAAATTTGTATTTTTAAATCACAAATAATAAGTAAAGTCCTTAAAAGCAATAAAATTTAACAAAAATATTTTATTGTATTTTAAGGGCTATTTATTAGTCTTTAAAAACAATAGAATTATTTTTTAAAAAAATGAAGTTAATAATAGTTTTTAACCATC